ACATGACTTACATTCTTTTGATGCAGTGAGGCACATAAAGAGAATTGCTTGTGTTTAATGAATGAGCTCAAAAACAAAAACTAGGATTTAGTAGTCACCATAACACAAAGCAAACTGATTCTCTGAATCTGACCATAACAAAGATGATGACAGGGAAAGTACTGGTAGGGCTACATTATGACCAGAAAAGTTTCAAACAATTATATCTTGAAATATTTTAAATATTCATAACAGTTTCAACTGGTCCAGAGTAAAATAAAGAATGATCCAAAATAAAGAACTCATGCTTTTGTATTATTTTGAAATAATTTGTCCCTAGTGTGCAGTGATCTTTACATTTTACGGTTCTCTTCAGCACTGGTATAATTACGTTTAAGCTCACAGGTTTAAAGTTTGTTGCACTGTTTCATTGCCACGTGCTTGTTAGCATCGATTCAAAGATTTAATTAAGAGTAAGAATTGGATTGTGAGGAACTGGTTGTCATTCAAACATGCTTTTTGCCAGTGTAGTCAACTATGTCCATTAATTCCCTTTCCCATTATTCGAATAATGCTAGTAGACACCGATAAGGCTGACATGTATAAATGTTTCCTGCATTTTGAAACTGCACACTATCCTCCTCTGGCATAGACTACACCAATAAGATGTGTCCTGCAGTGGTTTATAAGGTTCTGGTGCTTTGACCATTCCCACTGGCAGAATTGCTCCAAGCCCCTCACATCTTTTGTTGTTTTCTTTGTGAACTGTTTTCTTGAGTTTGGACCACAAATGTTTGCTTGGACTGAGAGTATCAGCTTATTTTGCGCTCAGCTAACGATTCAGCTAACGATCAGGATGAACGCTCTGGATCATTGTCAATGTGGAATGTCTGTTTTCTGTAAAGTTTGAGTTTCTTGATAGAGGGCAGGGGCGTCATGCAAACCAAATTTGTGGGTGGGCACCATTTTCAGACGTTCAAAACCACACACAAGACAAACATACACATAAATACACATACACATATATTAATGTTCTTGAAACTTTATGTAACTACGTATAGGACCCTTTCTTATACATCAGCGTTTCCCAAACCTCTCCTGGAGTACCCCTTGGCCTGTATGTTTTAGATCTCTCCCTGCTCCCCGACACAGCTGATTTTAATGATCAGTTTGTTATTAAGCAGCTTCAGGAGTTCAAAACAAGTTTATCATTTAAATCAGCTGTGTTGGGGAGCAGGGAGAGATCTAAAACATGCAGGACAAGGGGTACTCCAGGAGAGGTTTGGGAAACGCTGTTATACATGGGGGAAAAAAAAAATCCTTATCTCTTGCAAGCCTGTCTGTGGGAAATATGAAATCTGGATCCTTATCTACTGGGAAAAACAAACAAAAATAATTTTTAGACTTAATTGTACTAACAAAGATTTAATTTTTTTTTTTTTTTTTAAATCTCATAACCTGAATAGCCTACCACATAGCTGTCCCTTGCTGTAGCATGAAGCTTCAGGAGCATCTTCTGTTTGGTCCAAATCTGCCTTGTCCTGTCCTGCCCTGTCATTTTTAAATCCATAAAATGCCTATAACTTTGTCTGCTTCATTCTACCGATGGAAATAATACAATAATATAAAATAGTCACTGACTGGATGGCGGTCATACATTCAACAATAGCAACAAGTGGGTAACTACAGTCAAATTCTGTATGTGCCCTGTGGAAAGTTACTACATAGGCTACTGTTTCCATCAGATTGGAAAAAAGAACAAGGCACACAGAACAATCATATGTCTACAAAAAACAACTAGCTCATAAATTAATCAGCAAAAATACACCATGTAAGTAGATACCGAACCATGTAACTATTTACGGTTGCCATAGTGCATTATGCAGCGAGCATGAAATGAAGTAAGCATGTTTTGGCAGTGTAACATTTAGCTAGCTAGCTAGTTAACATCAGACAGAATATAATTTGCTAGTTGTGTTCAAAGTATGTGACATGGAGATGGAAGAGGCTGTGTTGTGTTGGTGGCTAGCTAGCAAGCACTGATGGACAGTGTAATTGGTACAGGCAAAACTACAAACTGACAAACGAGCTTTGACTGGTCTGCCATTATAACTAAGGATGGGAGACCTTGCTGGCTAACGTTAGCTAGCTAACATTAACATAAGTTGATAACACAGCTTCACAGTATGTCTGTGGTAGCATATTGATTGAATAGATAGCCAAGTAGACATGTGCGTGATATATTTTGACAGTTTTAGGCTATTGCAGCATATGTCTATGGGACAACACAGGAACAATTCAGTTGCCTTCTTGCAGCAGTACATTTGCTTGGCTAGCAATTGCAAACAGCTAAATATAGCTAACCTTGTTTACTGCCGCTCCGAAATGAGATGAACTCGTGGATGATGGGGAGTTATCAGTAGAAGACGGGAAGGATGGGGGATGGGGGAGGGGATTAAGAGGTGCGATCTGGTGGAGGAAGTTCGGTCATTTCAGCTAAACCTAGGCCGGGTTACTCTGACTGCACGTTTAATGATGTAGGCAGGTTATTGATTGATTGATTGAATAATTATTAATACATTTTTACAAAATATTGGGTGGGCACGTGCCCACCTAAATTGATTGGCACGACACCACTGACAGAGGGAAGTTCATAACTCCATCTCCCTTAAAACAGACTCCAGACCCATAGATACAAAACAACCCCAAAACACCACACCCCTACCATACTTCACAGAGGGTATGGGTTCTTTCTCAACATAAGTGTCAACTTTTCATCCCAGACATAAAGCTGATGACCATGTCAATTTTCATTTCAAATGAAGAGGCAACTCTTTCTGTGGCTTGCCTTTAAAACAGTCATCTTCTTTGCTGCCTGGGTGTGAATGCAATATTCATGTGTGCAACTTTGAAAAGTTGTTTTTGGCACTTTGTAACCTGGAGATGCCCTTTGGATTTACTAATGCTTCCAAAACCACTTGTCTCACAGTCCATGGTGATATGAACACTGTACCATTAGCCTTACATTTCCTAATAATGGATAGCACTGTGGAAAGTGGTAGATTTGATTTTACAGCCAGTTGTTGAAGTCAGTGACCATGTAGCTGCAGTCCTCAGAGAGTCCTCTGACCTGAACCATGCTAATGCATGCTACTGATGAATCTCTTCTGTGTGTTACGTCCATTAACACCATAATGAAATAGAATGATTTTGTGTATATATTGTTCCAGAAGCTTCCACTGAACTTAATATTTCATTTCTATCACTTTTAGTCACAAGTATGAGTAAATATGGAGGTCACAGTACCTCCCATCAAATAAGTAGTATTATTAGTATGTGATAAACTAAACAAAGTATCACTCAAGTGATAATTCATTAGCTATTGCTAATCTTGGTAATTCTATAAAAAATGCCATCAAATTACAGAACTGACAACTGCAAGTCTCACTGCAACTTCAAACCACCTTTGTTGGATACAGATGTAAAATGCAATGCAATTTTGCAGTGCAGCTACATTGATGCTGAATATAATTGCACATTAAAAAATGCATCTCCTGTCAAATCCTCTTGTGAAAAATTGACTCCACCTCCTTGTGTTTTTTATATTGATCAACCCTAATTTCCATTACGAACACTTGTAGACCTGCATATATTCTATTGGCATAGGGCATGCAGTAACTCGGTCATTCCATTCATAAGATGCTTTAAATAACTCACTTTGTCAGTTTTTCACAATAAAATCTTGTTTGTGGAAGAAACAACCTGCTAGACATGTTTTTTTACTTTGGGGGAGAAAGATGTTATTGCAGTAGACTCATTGTGGACAAGGCATTAATTTGTGAGGAACTCTCAGTTATGGCCTTATTTCTGTTAGATCGTGAAGTCACCCCAGAGCTTACAATGACGAGGCCAGTTCTCTGCTCTCCACTGAACCCCTTTCACACACAAGTGTGAATAAGGTTGTCTGTCAATGAAGAATGCTATTGCCTCCAGAGCTGAGAGGATTCCTCATATTTTCTGTCCCTGAAACACTGGAGGGAGTGGTGCTGCAGAAGGTTTGATGAAGTGATGTCTCACCTCTCTGCTCCTTCATTCCCAGGTTTCAAAGAGCAAAAGGTGATGCACGCTGTGTTTCATTCATATATAAGCTGTTAGTTGTGGATTCCCTCTAAGCCCTGTTTATTGGCAATGCTTTTCAAAGTCCTGCTTTTTCTTGTACTCTGTTGACCCTTTCCACACAATCTATGCAACCAGTTCCTTGTTTTGTCTCAGAATTGTGCTTTTCTTGACTTCTTGTTTTTCTTTTTTCTGAGCTTGCTTCTTTCATCCATTGTCAATATTTCACTATATACTTCTACATTTTAGAGATTGTCCATCCCTTTTCTCCAGCATCGTAGAATGCTGCTTCAAAACATGTTGTTCTTTGAGTTAACTACAAGCTCTTGTGGTTTAGTCTCAAAACAGCTCCATTGTGACACTGGCAACAACCCTTCTTTAACTTCTGTCTTTATTGTTGTAATTTTTTATTTCTTCCTATCATTTTTAGTTAAACTTTATTTAACTATTTCCCTTTAAAGGTTCACTCTATGGGAAACATCTATGTGAGCTTGCACCTAATAGGATTTACATATTATAGTTTGTGAAATTCATGTGTGAGTGGTGACATATGCAATATGACATCCACCCATTTTGTCCCATTATCCAGAGGTCTGAACACATACTTTGTTCATAGATAATGATGTTTTGTTTCTATATATGCTGGTGTATGTTGTGCACTTTTTATTTCTGCTTCTGCTGGAGCTTCACAACAGGTGAATTACTGTAGGTGAGGTATGGTGATCAGAGGAAGAACTTTGACAACTAGTACCTGGGAATCAAAGCAGAGCATAGGTTTGCATTGCTTTCCCTGGATAAAACATTACACTACATTATCATAATTGCATTTTTGACTTGCTATCCATTTCTACAGCTGGACATTTACTGAGGTAATTCTAAGTTAAATGCCTTACATAAGGGTACAGCAGCAGCGGCCCGGGGGAATCAAACCAGAAACCTAATGGTTATGAGCCCTGCTCCTTACCACTATGTTACACTGCTGCTCAATCTTGTGAATGCCCATTTTTAGATGTGCAGGTCCTCTGTATCTAAACTGCAATTCAATACACTAGATCTTTCAGCTGACAAGAAGTGACCATATAAAAACAATTCATATGTCATGAAAATTTGGAACTTATTAATTGTTGAATTAATTCAGATAAAAACACATTATTCTTCACTGTAACCCATGGTGTAACTTCATCATATTGATTGGCCTAGATAAAGGTCTTGTTGGAGAATGTTGCATGAGAAGGTTGCTCCAAAGCCAAAAATCTATTCCGGGGAATCGTATGTTCCAGAGGAGAAAATCTCGATATTAGCTTTGATTTTACATATTGAATAAAGTATAGTTATATATACCGCTGTGCAATTCACATTCCCATGAATCTGAGGCCATTTATTTTCTCTCAGTAATTATTAATAGCGTACAACTGGGTTAATAGTGACCTCTACCGTAGAAAAATAACAACATCAGAATCAGTAAACTCTGTGTAATATTTTATAGTATATTAACCAGTATTTATCGTCTTTGAAAACGCTGATAATACACATGTCAGCTGTAGAATTTCGGCATGTCATTTGATGTAATGCTTGATTGATGCTGAGATGACCACAATAAAATGGAAGAGAAAAGCAACAGCTTTTTAAATTTGCTGACACTTTGAACCTAAATAATTTTATTTCTCTAGCGCTGTATCACACAGCGCTAGAGAAATATATATAAACATAGATTTGTTAATACTAGAAAACGGTATCTTCCCACACAATTTTATTCCAGTGGTATAATAATACAACTAAAGTAATTAATATGATATGTCCCTCTTCCAGGAGTAGCTCTGTAACTACTAGTCACTCGCGCCAACAGAAGCTGAGAGCGGAGCGCATCTTAACCATTCTCATTGCTATGTGGTCCATCCCCTAAACGTGACGCTAAAACGTGCATCATTACCTCAGACTGATCCAGCTTTTTCCATCTCCTGGATGCAGTAAGTCAGTTTCATTTGCGGCACACGGTGCAGAAGCCGGACCCAGCGCGTTCAAGGTTTGAATACGAAAGATGTTGACAGGGACTCCAGTGCGTAAAAGCCGCTGCCCTTTAGTTATGCGCATTCTGAACTGGCTATAACTTAAACCCTACAATTTTTGAAAGCATTCCTTTTCCTTTCTAGTTTTCTTTTATTTTTGTTATCATAGTTGACCATAGTTGAGGTTATTTATTTTACCTGAGCACAGGTGTGATAGAAGCGCACGTGGCTGTGTTTATCCAAGGTAAGACGCTATTTATCTTCTTCGTAATCATGTGAACAACTTAGTATTCTACAAATAGAAAGTGCAACTCAGATGAACACAATGCTGGCTATATTTTCCTCCCCTCGAAGAGCTGCCTGCACCGTCCACGTAACTGTCAAAGAGAACATCGTGCGTACTGACGTGGAAACAAACTGGCTTCACATGCAGCTAAGTGATTTTTAACACAACATGTTCTGACATGTTTGTCTTTGGACTGTATAATCGACGGGCGTTTTATCTCATCTCTGCTTATTTTCCAGTTATTTAGAAAAATACATTTGGTATTTGCCGTCAAGATGTAGTCAAATGCAGTCACTGTTGCTGCTTAAAAGTATGATGATTTGAAGGTGAGCTTCAATAGATGCTTCCATTTTTAGGTAAGTGTATTTGCTCATGGGATTAACGGATTATCTTTAACAACAGGGGAAATCCAAGGCGAGAAGCGACTGTCTTGTTAGCCTTTAACTTTTAACTTATCCACGGACAAAGATAGTGGTTGAGCATATCACTTGAAGTATTTTCTTCACTTGTCACGGTTTTTCCTCTCTCACTGACATCCTTGAACTCAATCAAGGTAGTTTCGATTAATTAAAAGAAATGCGATTTTTAAATTGAACAGTTGGTAATTTGAGGTTTTGCTGAACGAGGCTGTACAGTTTCATCGCGACTTAATTTGATGGGGAAAAGAAACTGCTGTCTGTGCGCATTGTTACATGCACTGTTAGTGCTTGTGGTACACATCATACACAGCGTTTCTGTCTGTTCTTAATTCCGCCCGTGACTTTATGGTGTACGCGTTTAAGAACGCTGAGGTATCAGCATCGTTTCAGCATCGTGCTCTTTGGTCTGAACTGTTGAATGCTGAGTCCCATGTTGAGTCTAAATCATGAAGTTGTCCAGTTGCTCTCATGACCTCTAAATATTCTCAGCTCTGGACTGCAAAGTCTACATGTAAAAAATAAGAACAATAACCATTCTTTCCCCATGGGTTAATTAGGAGGTGCTGTAGAACTTCAAAATCAATGACACGCATAGCTATGACAGCACTGAGATACACAGACACATACCATGGACCTAAAAAGCTTGCTCAATCAAAGCTGGAACACCATACACACACACACACACACACACACACACACACACACACACACACACACACACACACACACACACACACACACACACACACATATCTCTGCAATGTCCCCATAATACTATTAATAATTTAAATTCATTCAGTGAATCAGTCTTCATGTTTTCGATCTGTGCTTCTCTTGAAGATGAGTGATCAGACAGCTCTGACACCTTAACTGCAAGCTTCATAAAGTGGGCTGATCATTTTTGCTTGATTGTTTGACACAGTGCTAAACTCTTAATACAGAACGGTCCACCCCAGCAGTAAAAGCTTCTAAAATGAGTAAAAGTGATGTAAGTACATCTGGAAAGCATAAACACTACCAAAACCCAAAATCATTAGCAAGAGTCAGTTTTAAAATTCAAGTAAGTAAATGCATCATTGATAACCATTGTAATCAAACATTAAATGAATCCAAGATTACCTCAGAATATCAGTCTCTTTCAATTGAAAGTGAGTGAGGGACATTTACAGTAAATGGGAACAAAACTAATTGGCAGGCACACTGTACCTAGACAGATCCTAACAATCACACTACCTGATGCCAGACCAGTCATTCCTGTTGCCAGTGATGCAAGTGAAGCTTTACTGTTGACCCTCTTTAGTTACTCCACACTTAATGTCCTTGAACATATTGCCATTGCAACGCATTTTCCCTGTCCTGGTTTCTCTGAAATGGCACTGAAATGATTCATTTCATGCTGATGCTGTGCCTTTTCTACGTTTGTATAATTGTTGCTATGCTTATTGAATAAATTCCCTGGAACATGTCATCGTCAGCAGTGGTGTTTCTTTGAATCTTCCTGTGGCGAATCTTGTTTTTGGCTCAGCCCATCCCTGCTAGTGCTATTTCCTGCTCAGCAGTGAGCCCACAGCCACCCATCCATTACGGTCATTTCCTTCCATCCTGAAGACAGGAATTCAGAATTGAATATGCAAATGATTTCATAACGGCACAGTTGGAAGAAAGGTTTCACCAACTGCTGTGGTATTTCACATAAGTGCAAGCAGTGTCACCCAATACATATTGTTTACTTACTTATAGAAGATGATAGCATTGAAACAACTGAGCTGGTTATTAAGTTTTCCTTTTTGGATGTGTAGGTGAGAAAATGTGTCAAAACGTGAGAATTCTGGACTTTTTACTTTATTGCAATATTTTGAAAAAAAAAAAAAAATTGTACGATTATCATCGTCATCATCATCATCATCACCATCAACCAATGACCAGGTGAAAGGGCTGTCATAGCATCAGAAATAGAATTTCTTCCATGATCACAAGTTAACAGCGAGTTGTCTCTCACTTGTTTGCATATATAAGTGTTCTTTTGTTTGTTCACTTTCAAAAGTGAGGAGTGTGCATGTGAGTGTGTGTGTGTGTGAGAGAGAGAGAGTATGTGAGTGTGTGGGCTCATTGGGGGTTGGGGTTGGGGATGAGAGAAGTATGAGTGTTATGAGTGTGATGTGTGTGGGTGGGTATACGTTTCTGACTTTGAGTGACATTCAATTAATGTCTCTGTGTCTGACTAACAAGTCAACTGCTTATATTTCACAGTGCTGTCAGGGTTCAGACAAACTGGAACCAATTGTTATTTTTCCAGAAGATTTTTTTACTATTATTATGGAGATAAATGCTTGAGCATATCTGAATAAAAACCACTACTGAATTTTTAAGCATCAAAAATGACACCTTCAACAATGAGATGCCCGTGTGTCATGTCATGGTTTCCTAGTGGGAATTCATGTTGAGTGGAAGACTTTTTTCATGCTGTCATTCATTTGATGCTTATTAATCGTTATGTAAGGGTCAATTACTTGATTGCATTATTCAGCTGTGCAATAAGGTTTTAATAAGGAGGTATGTTGGAAAAAATATGGACAAGGGACCATCTGAAATGCAGCTCAATGCCACACCATTCAAATGTTAGAGAGATAAGTTGGTCAATATACAGGACCAAGTAAATGATCTTTAGTGATACCCGATATGATCAAAATACATCACAAGTCTTAAGTGAAACCCTTTGCCTGCAACCTGTTGTATTTCTAACTGGTACAGAACTGAAATTTCATTCACTGCTACTTTCAGATGTTATCTTTTGTCAACATCAACATTATACCCATTCTAAGATTTTCATGCCAATAATATAAATATCATTCTTTCAGTATCTGTGGACAAATGTATCGACAGTGTGTCTGTGTTCTTAAATAACATCTTTTTATTCTTTCTCTGACAGAGGTTACCTTCCTATCAGTACATCTTAGACTGTTCTAAGATGACAAGGTTTACAGAAAACAACTGAATTCATTTAAAGAAGTAGACATGACAGTGCTGATGCCTGGTGTCTGTGTCTGTGCTTTCATTTTTGGTGTGGAGGTAGGCGTGTGTCTTGTATCATTGAAATGTCTGATATGACTCAGAGTAATTGTTTTATGAGAGAACTGTAAGGATTGGCACCTCCAATCACCAATCACCAGTGATGTAGCATTGTTTTGCAGTTAAACTGTGTACACACACACACACACACACACACACACACACACACACACACACACACACACACAAACAAAAATTGTA